TCTTCGCCCAGTGGAATGCATGTATGAGCTTACTAGTTCTCCTCCATTATCTAGGTTCTTGCTTGGCATCATAAACCCATATAACCCTTCCCATAAACCCCGCCTGAAATGTTTCTAATTTCTACCTCCGAGTAAAGTCTCAGTTCTTTTCCAGTTAATATTCTAGTCTTTTCTGCTCCGTTACGAACTCCTGTGACTAAACCAGTACTTTCGGCACCTATCCATCCCCCCATCCACCTACGCCTTCTTACCTGTCATATCCCCAGTCATCGCAACTCGATTCCTTCGCTTCCTCCTCTGCATACCTAGTCAAGCAGGGCCGAGCTTCAGCAGCTGCCAAAGAAATAACATTCGATTTTCGAAAAAAAAAAACTTCGGAAATCAAACAGCCAGTGATTTGAATTATTTTGCCGGTTGTGTAACATATCTGCGAACAAATTATAAAAATTCAGCCTGACATTGACATTGCAAAAATTTTCTTCAGTGGACGCGGAGCACTTAACTTATAAAGAGAAGCTAAGGGAAATAGAGAAAATATTAGTTTATTGGATACCATTTGAAGCACTCTTGGACAAATTGTCCGGTTCATTCGAATGCTTGCCCAACGAGCGATCGAATTCGACTGGTACAGTATGGTGCGGCGGCATGTCTAAGACGGCTTCACTGCTGGACGTTGACGGCGAAAATCCATAAGCAGACGCGGGAGATGCATGCTCCTATATAAAATAAAACGAAGGCTTTGAGAATGATCACATGGCCAGACCAGCAGTAGCTAGCAGAGGAGGGAAGATGAGAAGGGTACTTGGCTTACTCCACCCGACCTAATATGATAGTAACCAAAACAACAGCAGTTTCGCAAATCTCAATCCAAATTTAATGCCTTCACAAGTCTAGCGCTCATTTTCTGAGCGCAGTCCATTCGACGTTCCAACAAATTTAGTCCAGCTCCATGCAAAAAAACCACTAGAGCCCAAATCACTTTATGCATTTCCTACCCCCCAACAAACTGGTCTTATTTTCGCAAAGCTACTTATTCTGAAGCACTCAAGCGACAATTCAGGAAGCAGCGTGCTTTATTTCCCGAGCATTTTTGGCTTGCTTATTCGGACTATCTCTTTATCGATATTTTTTGAAAATGCAATCCCAGCCGAAAACCACGATATGGTCAGTGCTGCTTCGTTACGATATACCGACAATCCGCGAGCTTGGTTATATTTATCGGACTAAGCATTGAAGAGATCAGGATTATAACAGAGAAAAAACAACGAGCTTACACACCTTTACTGACCAAGAGAAGTCTCGCAGCAGCAATCACAGTTGCAAATACCTGACTGCTGTTGCGAAAGCGAAGCTTTCCGGGATAGGCAAAATTTTGCGAAAATTCAGTGAAGCGTCAAAATGTCCTAAACTACATGTTCAGAATTTCTGTAACTCTTCTAGACTTAGGTTTCCCCTTCCCCTTTCGCTATGTTCCATAGATAAAGCCTAAGAAAGGTTCTTTTGGGACAGTCTTCTGATGCTATGGTCCTTGGGGTGTTACGACGAATTCCCTGCCGACTGCGACTACTGTCACGATTAATTCCACTATTATTACTACTGCTGGGATTTGTTTTACTATAAATGTTGGGCTTGTTGTTTGTATAACTGAAGGCGCTTAGCCGGAGAAGTAAAGCACAGAGGAAGAACCTTATATTCATTGTCGAAAAACAAAACTGCGCGACAACTAGAACCCGGTAGTAATTGGAAAAAAATTTGAACCATCAGCTAATCACAAGCCTTTTTTCCCGCTGCCAGCAACAAGGGTCCCTATCCGAGAAGGGAACGGATTCGCAACCATTCAGCCGCAATGGGAACAGAATCTGCATGATAGCCAATACAATAGCTAGATCTAGGCAAGACTGCTTGTAATGATTGCAAGACTTGCATTACAACAAGTGCAGGAGGGCCGAAAACTTCATGAAAGTTTCCTGTAGTACGGACAGATTTGCATGAGGTTGTCGGAATCGATAACTGCACTTGCTCGGATCTATCTACAGAGAGCGCTGGATTTTTGAAGTACACGCACCAATGAAGAGAATCGGACGGAAAAAATATGCAGAAAAGGCATCATTTGACTGGACTGTAAACGACGAAAATGTATATGACTTCATGGACCAAAATATTCCTGTTTAGCTGATTAATTTTTCTTTGATGTTACCTTTCGTAAATAAAATGCTTTATGTATATATATATATATATATGCATATTTATATGTATACATATATGTATGTGTATATATGTATATATATATACGTTTATGTATATACATGTATATATATATATGTATACATATGTGTATATATATGTATATGCCGCAACGAATAATTTAATCCAGGTTATGGTGTGGGGATGCTAATTAAGCAGTAGTGAGACACGCGGGGTATACCTTCTTCCCGGAACATGTCGCTAAATTTGGCTCTTCGATTTTAACTAAAATATTTAGCGACTGATTGCTAACTTTAGTGTAACAAAGCAGAATCGGCATTTTTAAGCAGGATTCCTGGCCAAATCTAGCTCAGCCAACTGATTTTCCGCTCTCTTCGCAATTACAAAAAGTTATGAACATCCTAACAAAATTCTCTTCATTTTCCTTTCCTTGTACAGACGAGTTTCGCAAGCCCAAGACATGAAAGAAGAAAAAGCTTTCCGTGGATCTGTGCTAAACTTACTGTGCTTTCTATCAAATCGCAAAACTGACTTTTTGAATCGAAGGAGACGGCACTGCAGTTTTTACCGGTAATACTGATGTTCCAGGAATGTTCACATTTGTTTCGGTTTTAACGAGCGACCCTGCTGCTTCAGTTCCATGAGAGCCTGCGCCTTTCTTCGAAATTTCATTCTGGCGCTTTTGCAGCTGGTTGTAGTAGTCAGAACTGTACACTGTAGTTGTAACTTCACGGCCTAAACAGAACAGTCTACAGTGACAGACAACTGCATCATTACCGTTATCAAAAAATAAATAAAAGTAAAAATGGGCAGCAAAAAAATTTTTTAACAACTAGAATTTTTGTTTCATTAATATCTGTTCTTGTGCAGGCTAGTACCCGTAAAATGAGCGCTTGTTTACGCGTGTGCCCCAAGTACAGAATATCAAATATTTAGACTCCAACGCTGCTGTTATTCTACTTTCTCAGCAATCAGGCCGATAGAAAATTTGAAATTTTATAAGAATTCTGCCTGCTTCAATGGAGCACGAAAAACGTAACAGCGGTAACAGCTTTCACAAATGTTAATTTCTTGCACAGGGATACGTTTGCCGTAAAAACGCATGACCATCTTGGCAACACTGATGCGCGTCAACACTGGGTTTTGTAATCTTTTAAAGAACACTATTTTTCTTCTGTTTGTAAATTTCTCATACTTTTCAAAGTGCAGTTGGAGTTGTTCGATGAACAATATTTCATTTATGTGGGTTTTTGCACATTTGCAAAATGCAGTAAATAGCGGCGCGCACCAGGGTAACCGATGTAATCATGCGTTTTGCGCAGTTCCGTCCAGCGTTCGCCTGCCTACGAAAAATATAACTTTTACATTTTCTTAAGTGAGAAAATAGTAGATATGCTGCCTGGCTCCTAAGTTGAGGAATTCCCACTGAAAATTTCATGTGCCGGTACATGAAGGCTCAATTTG